ACTTTTAGTTGATATTACAGCACCGATCATTCCTTTCATCGAAAGGGGGCCCAGCTGGTACAGTATAAACACCGATAGGTTGAACACAGAAGACTCAAAATCACGCATCCGTCAAACTGTGCCTGCGTTCCCGCTTTTTTTTTTCTTCTTCTTTATGTTTGGAAGATATCTCTCGAACTACCGAGGCCGGTTCCAACAAATTCGAGCTATCCGTGTTATAGTCTTGTTATAATAAAATGCTTTAAAAGTTTTAAATAAATAAAGGAACATAGTAGATCATTGGGAATCACTTTCAGCCCCAGTCTAGAAAGTTTTTTTAACACCTTGCCATCACAATGCTCATTTAGTAAAAACTCTTGCCATCAAAGGCAAAGGCATTTTGGGGGAAACTCAAAGAAACTGGGTGGCAAACATCGCCAATCGGCAAGATGAGGCAGCAAAAAGTGTTTTATTAAGCAAACGGAATATCTCATAGTAATCTCACCAGCGCCCACACACATCTCAAAGGAAACGTGCACCCTCCAGCACTCCCACCAGAGCCCCCAGGACTTCTGCAGCTTGCCCTCGTAGAACTTGACACTGACCCAGTCAGGCCCTGCCAGAGAAATGACCGTCAGAACAACGGCCACTGTTGCCATGACAACGGCTAATATCTGGGAAAACAAGAACATTAATTGTTAATGATTATTAGCTTCTCGTGAACAGGGATTTGTAAGTTTGTTTGTTTGTTTTTTTGGGGGGGTTTTGGGGGGTTTTTATAAGGGTTTTACGGCGCTCACAACTGCAAGAAGTCATATGAACAGGGTTTAATTTGGAAAGGTGTACCGTGACTGTTTAATAAAGAATAATAATGCTTGCATCGTCTTACATTTAAGTCTAAGAGCTCTCGTTGTCTAGAGGGACTGTGTTGTTAATAATAATAATAATAATGAAGATCATTTCTACAGCGCCCACTCCCATGTAAACACAGCTCTAGGCCCTTTACATGAATGCATGTACAAACAATATTCACGCACATGACACACACACGTACACACACACTCATACACACACACACACACACTAACACACACACTATCACACACACACATATACACACAAACACACTCACGCACAC